CTGAACGGCCTAAAATCTGAAAATGTCCCGATGTATGAATGAGTTTCGGTGCTGGACTGAGTCAGCCTGAGGCGTGCTGTCATTGGAAGGCGGCGGCCGTTACGTCACAGACCCGGAATGTAGTGATTGGTGGATCCGGTCGGACCGGTTCCTGTCCTGATGAAACCTGGACGGAATATGCTGGAATGTCCGCCCCGCCGGAAGTACATCAAAACATGTTTACAATGTTAGCTACCCTGACGTCACAGTTTGTGGAGAAGTCACGTGATGGTATTTAATAGGATTTTCTTAATGGACAGAACCACCAGGACTTGGTTCTGGTCAAAGGGGGTTGTGTTTCAGAACCTGGAAGGTTTTTCACGATGTTCTGATGGGTCTCAGCGGGTCTTCTGGTTCTGATGGTTCTGATGGTTCTTCTGTCCCGCAGGAACAAGTCGTTCATGTTCAGCGCGCTGTACGCCGCCCTGGTGTTCGAGGTCAGCACTTCATGAAGCCTCGGCCCAAACTGAACCTGCGGCTGCCGCTGGTCCTCTGGTCGCTGAGCCTGGCCCTGTTCAGGTAAGAACACCTGGAACCTGCAGCAGGTGATGCAGCAGCAGCTCCATCTGGCCAGAGTCCATCCAGAACCAGTAGAAACCAGGCGGAACGCCGCCTCTGTCCAGACCACGCCCGTCTCCACCCGGATTCCTGGATGGGCGAGTGACTGCTGCTGATTCATTGCCATGGCAACAGGCCCACACCTGCAGCTCAGGTGCGAGTGGAGGTGTCGGTTCGGCTCGGCTGGTTCAGGACAAACCGACCCGTGACCCGCCTCATCACATTAATATCAACCAGAGGTCGTGGTTCGGATTCCCGCTGGGCGGGTCGGATGTCGGACCGGTTCTGAGATCAGATGATGTCATCAGGATCAGCTGCTGTGGCTTCCTGTCCTGATGGCTCTGCTTCCCGTTCTGTCCTCAGCATCATCGGAGCGGTCCGGACCGGGTTCTACATGCTGCACATCCTGAGCGCCAGCGGCTTCCGACGCTCCATCTGCGACCAGAGCTTCTACAACGGACCCGTCAGCAAGTTCCTACGCCTTCGTCCTCAGCAAGGCTCCAGAACTCGGTCAGTTTGATCCTCAGTCTGAACGTAAACGGACCAGAACATCAGGGTTCAGTTCTATGAGTGGACCGGCTCGGTTTGGGCACATTAAAATGTTCTGGAAGATGAAAGTGAAGGTTAACCGGGTCCAAAGCTGCATTAATTCTGACCATGTACCAACATGTAGCCACACCTTCTCCAACACTGGAGTCAACTTTTAGCTTAGCGCTCTGGCTAACTATGAACGTTTAGCGCAGTTAAACGTTCATAAACTTATTTTCCCAGATAAATCCTAAAGAGCTAATTTTCTTGACTGTTAAACTTTAATTAAGAAAACATCAGTTCAGATTTTTATTGTCTGTATTGTAGAAAAATCTACTCATTCAAGTAGATATTTATATTTATGCTCTTATTTTGAAGGGGGTGAAGACAGTTTGCAGTTCATACCTTAGTGCTTTAGCATTAGATTAGCTTCCACTAGCTAACATATTGGAGCAGTGCATTAGCAGAAGTGATGTCTGATTAGCGGTTTTGGGTTAGCGCAGCGCTAAGCGCCATTAAAGTCATTAATGTCTTTTTGTTTTCCGTCTCCAAGGCGACACGGCGTTCGTGGTGCTCAGGAAGCAGAAGCTGCTCTTCCTCCACTGGTACCACCACATCACGGTGCTGCTCTACTCCTGGTACTCCTACAAAGACATGGTGGCCGGCGGCGGCTGGTTCATGACCATGAACTACACCGTGCACGCGCTCATGTACAGCTACTACGCCGCGCGCGCCGCCGGCTTCCGCGTGCCCCGCCCCTTCGCTGTGGTCATCACCAGTGCCCAGATCGCCCAGATGGCGATGGGCCTGACGGTGAGCGGCCTGGTGTACCGCTGGATGCAGCAGGGCACTGTCCGTCCCGCTTGGACAACATCACCTGGGCCTCCATCATGTACCTCAGCTACCTGCTGCTCTTCTGCAACTTCTTCTACCAGAACTACCTGCGGCGCGAAGCCAAGGACAAGACCCAGTAGGACAAGACCCAGTAGGACAAGACCCAGTAGGACAAGACCCAGTAGGACAGGACCCAGTAGGACAAGACCCAGTAGGACCCAGTAGGACAGGACCCAGTAGGACAGGACCCAGTAGGACAGGACCCAGTAGGACAGGACCAGTAGGACAGGACCCAGTAGGACAAGACCCAGTAGGACAGGACCCAGTAGGACAAGACCCAGTAGGACAGGACCCAGTAGGACAGGACCCAGTAGGACAAGACCCAGTAGGACAGGACCCAGTAGGACAAGACCCAGTAGGACAAGACCCAGTAGGACCCAGTAGGACAGGACCCAGTAGGACAAGACCCAGTAGGACAAGACCCAGTAGGACAGGACCCAGTAGGACAGGACCCAGTAGGACAAGACCCAGTAGGACAAGACCCAGTAGGACAGGACCCAGTAGGACAAGACCCAGTAGGACCCAGTAGGACAGGACCCAGTAGGACAGGACCCAGTAGGACAAGACCCAGTAGGACAGGACCCAGTAGGACAGGACCCAGTAGGACAAGACCCAGTAGGACAGGACCCAGTAGGACAGGACCCAGTAGGACAGGACCCAGTAGGACAAGACCCAGTAGGACAGGACCAGTAGGACAGGACCCAGTAGGACAAGACCCAGTAGGACCCAGTAGGACAAGACCCAGTAGGGGACAGGACCAGTAGGACAGGACCCAGTAGGACTGGAGCAGAACATGCAGTTTATTTATGTCTGGGAATGAAGGAGCGTTTCTGGACCTGCTGGTTCCTGCCTGCAGGTCCAAACATGGTTCCGATCTAAAGAGACATGAAGCTCAGCTGAACAGACATTGGAAATATTCATGTTATTTGACTAAATTTATCAGCTTGGGACACAGAAAATGTTCTGAACCATTTTTACCTTCAGCTGATTTCCAAAATATTTCAAACATGTAAAAATATAATCGGAACCATTGGAACCCGTCTGGTCCGATTCACTGGTTCTGGCTGAACCCAGGTTGGCTGGAGAAAGTAAACCGGGTCAGAACTGGAACTTAAACTTTTAATCTGTAAATATTTCCATCAGTTTGTCTATAAAATGTCAAACTTCTGATTCAGGAACCGATCCAAAAGAACCGGTTCAGATCCAGCTCCTGGTTTTAAGGCGGTATGAAGGCAGCTGATTGGCTGCTGGAAGGTCACATGTCTCATGGGACTAAACTCCTGTTGGGACCTCGCGTTTTGGAGCTGGTTCTGGTCGGTGTGATTGTGGAAACGGGTCGGAGTTCTGAAGGAAACCAGCAGCTGACGTCACAGCTGGTTTCCATGACGAAAATGATCACCTGGACGATTTCCTGGAGGGAAGTTGGGATATTTATGTTTATTTATTGTGTAAAAATGTAATAAATGTCTTTTTCCATTTGTGCATTTTGGGTTTTTCTAGTTCGGTTTTTCGGCATCAAACAGAATCTGAGATCATTTGAAATATTTTCAGGATCTGGAGCGATAAACCTGATCAATACAGATTATTTACTGCAGCTGCTGGTTTAAATCTGGAATAATGAACATCAACCAGAACCAACTCAGGAGAAAACCAGAACTCAGTAATTACATCCTCACTTCCACCACAAGGAATCAGTAAGTCAGGTTTATATGGAGCCGGTCCGGGTCCGGAGCCGGGATCTGGTCCGGGTCCGGGTCCGGAGCCGGGATCTGGTCCGGGTCCGGGTCCGGAGCCGGGATCTGGTCCGGGTCCGGGTCCGGAGCCGGGATCTGGTCCGGGTCCGGGTCCGGAGCCGGGATCTGGTCCGGGTCCGGGTCCGGAGCCGGGATCTGGTCCGGGTCCGGGTCCGGAGCCGGGATCTGGTCCGGGTCCGGTCCGGAGCCGGGATCTGGTCCGGGTCCGGGTCCGGAGCCGGGATCTGGTCCGGGTCCGGGTCCGGAGCCGGGATCTGGTCCGGGTCCGGGTCCGGAGCCGGGATCTGGTCCGGGTCCGGGTCCGGAGCCGGGATCTGGTCCGGGTCCGGGTCCGGAGCCGGGATCTGGTCCGGGTCCGGGTCCGGAGCCGGGATCTGGTCCGGGTCCGGGTCCGGAGCCGGGATCTGGTCCGGGTCCGGAGCCGGAGCCGGTCCGGGTCTGAATGAATTTCATCCCATCTGTTCAAACAAACTTTAATGTTCCAGTTCAGTGTGTTGTGACTGACGGAGCGCCCCCTGCTGCAGCCAGTGGTCACTGCAGGTCTAACATCAAATCTCTCATTAAAGTTTCATTTTCAGGGTTTTTTCTGTATTTTCAGAAGCCTTTAAACACATTCAGACTAAAACAGTTTTAAAGTTAATCCTCCATTTGACTTTTGAAATCAAATATTTTATTTTCTTAAATGTGCTGAAAAGTTATGTTGCATATTACATTTCCGTCAATCTGTGTCAGAAATCTGAAATTAGACTCAATTCATCTGTTTTGCTCAGAACATCCAGATAATTACAATTATGAGAAAAGATTTCCACGACTGAAATCTGGTAATATTACAGCAAAATGTTCATAAGCATCAAATCAAAAATCAGCAGACAAAGAATCACATCCCATAATTTCATATTGATAACAGACGATAAAATGTCATTTTGTGAAGTGTCTCATCTGAGTGGAGTTCTTGTATGTAACTATTCATCCTCAAACATCTTCATCACTGTTTATTTCTTAATTATTTCTTTATTTTGTTTGAAATTCAGTTCAAAAAGTTTCTGGTTCGTTTTTAATTTCATCCAATTAAAAACCTTTAAAGCCCCTCAAAAGGAAAAGTGCTGCAGAATAAACCAGGCAGTAATGATACACATTGATAGGATGAAACCACGCGGCGTTTCGCCCAGAATATGAACATCTAACTCTAAAAAGTGTATTTGGGCTGTAGTTAATGTTATGGCCTTTTTTACATTAACCTGACTTAATTGTTTGGCTTTAGTTATGTCAACTTACTTTCATGAGTTCAATTAACTTAAAAGACACACATTTCATCTAAAACAAACGGTTAACTTTGAGTTGACGTGAACCAATTAAGTTGAATGCAGTTTTACGTCTGACGTCATTACGCAAGCTTTGCCCGAGACAGATCCACTTCTTGTACCGACCGCTTGTGCAGCCGCCATTTCTTCTGACCATCGACTGTCCACCGGATTGTAAAACAGTAAGTATTCTACACATCATGGCAAAATATTATTTAAACGGTGTAAAAATATTAATGACTTTTTCTACCTTTAATTTGAAACAGTTAACTGTTTTTAACGTCGAAGTATCATCAGTTATTTGCTTTGAACACATTTGCTAGTTGTAATTTGCCGCGCTATTCGGCATGTTTGAACTTAACTGCTCTGTTAGTTAGTGAACGTTTATTTTGAGTGTGTACTTTTTATTTGACCCTAAAGAACTTAAATAGCTGGAAGCCGGGTATGTAGTGAAAAACATGAAATGTGATTTAGACTGGAGACGTTCAGGGCTGGTGCTGGTGGACCGAGAACTGCTGGCGTGTTCCGGTCGGAAGCTAGACTGGGTCAAAGTGTGGGAGCAGCTAATGCACTGCAGTGGTGGCCAGATTTTATAACAAGAACTACTGGACAGGTTGATTTTTTATGGGTAATCTTAACGTACAGTTACGGAGGTGTTAGTGTTATATGCAACTAATTTAATGTGACGCAACTGCGCTCTGCTTGTCACTTGTCACCGTGAGCTGCAGTCAGGGAAGCCATTTGTTCCAATTGTCAGCCTGCTTACTGACGACATGATATAAAACGCATAATATCCTGACTGCGCTAATAATCCATAAGATGTCATTTTCTTAAAAAAGCAAAAAACAAAATAAGCAATTCATGTTTGTAGGAACTTTGAGTTAATTTCTCTTTCCCACTCTCCAGGCCTGGAGCCAAGCATCATCAGACCATAGAAGGTAAGCCATATTTGCTTCACTAAGCTTCTAATTTAGAAAAAAAAGTTAAGTTTATTAGTTAATATGCTGTATTGTATCAATAATATGAAAAACATATACTCTAAACTAATTCAAAAATAGTTTCGATAAATAACATCATTTTAAAGTAAAAGGAATAATAGGTGGTCAAAGAACGAGATGAAATTAATTTCCTCCAAAGGGTTGATGAGCTCTCACTCAACATGGGGTCAGAAGCTCAGTCATCTCGGAGAGGCTGAGATTAGAGCTGTTGCTCCTCTACATCCAGTGGAGCCATTTGAGGCGGCTCGCGCATCTGATTAAGATGCCTCCTGGAAGCCTCCCTGGTGATGTTTTCTGGGCACGGCCTGCCAGGAGGAGGCCATTGTAGTGGGACTATGTCACTCAGCTGGGCTGCAAAGTCTTTAGGATTCCAAAAGGTAGGGAGGTGGCTGGGGAGAGGGAAGCTGCCCTTGCAACCCCACTTTTGATTAAGCTGTTAAGAATTAATTATAGTTAAACAACTTTTTGTTTTCCCACCAATATCTAACATTATTTTAATTTCTAACACTTAAAGAGTGGACAGACATAAAAATAGAAAGGCAATGTCATTTTTTGTCCCTCATAGGGAAAATTACATTGCAACAGCAGAAAGTGACAGGCAATTTGTTTACACAAACATACATATACCAATGTGTGTTTTTAAATATGCACACACAGAGAATTAAGAGAAACATACTGTACAACCAGGGCAAAATTACAACCTAAAAATACTTTGGTAGACTTTAAAGTTTAATCCATCCTAAGAAATATGCAATTGAGAAGGACAATTTAAGAGATGTGCAATTTTGCCTAAAATATTTGCAATACTAACAACATGACATTTATTAATATAGAGAATGTTTTTCTAGGATATTAAAAACATACTGTAATAATTATGGTTAAAAATGCATTCAGAATCTATATTTTACCAAACAGATCTCAAGTATTGCATGGGGGTAAGATTGTAACAGTACTCAAAATTGACTCTGCATCCATATTTGTTTAATCTTCCTTGCCTTCAGATTTGGCAACATACATGTAACACAGTTCCTCTCTTATCCTTCTAGTGTTTCACTTCATGTGGAGATGCAAAGACTGCGAGAGCTTGTTTCCCAGAAGATCTGAATTGCTCAAGCACTACAAACTAAACCACAGGCATTATGGACGGGCTATTCATATCCATGCACATATTTAAGTTGCGCATGTAGATTCAAGACCTGGAATGCTTTACTGAACCATTTATCAAGACATCATCCAGTCCACCAAACAGTTAACAATGACTTAACCACATTCAAATGCCCCATTTGTGATTCTAATCAACTTTCCACGGAGAGAGATTTTTTTCAGCATATATTTCAACATCTCAAGAATAAGGAAACAGTCACATGTGTGTTTCAGGACTGTGTTTATCAAACAAATAATTACGAGAACTACAAAAGTCATAAATACAGAAAACATTCTGATGCTAACAATACATTGAAGACTGGGATTACTGAAAAAAAACAATTAGACTGTGGTGAAGAATTGTGCTAGTTTTGGCACTGACATTTTTGATCAGGACAGTACTGTACAAGCTAATCCAAATCCCACATTTAACAGGAATGATTCTGAAAACTTAGAGAGAGATATTGAACTTAAACTTGCATCAGTTCTTCTAAAGTTAGAAAGCACTTATCTTGTTTCAAATGCAGCTATTGATGATCTATTGCAGGAGTTAAACTATTTAATTGGTTCTTTGTCCCTGCCTGTTACATGTAGAACTATAACCCAAATACTACACAATCATCTTTGCCAGTTTGACCCATCAGTTGTTGAAAACCTTGCCAAGGCCCTCTGTGAAACAACCCTGTAAAAAAAAGCAATAGGAGAGAAAGGCTCCCTTTCTAGTGCTTGGAGACGAAAAAAATTCTATAAAGACATTTTAAAGTGGTAGAACCTGAAGAATATATTCTTGATAAAAAAAATAGAAAGTCATTCCAATATGTATCAATCCTAAAGTCTTTGCAGCAAGTTCTGGATTGTGAGGTTATCTTGGATCAGACTGATAACTTAAATAGTCTTAATAAAGTACCACAAAAGAAGTGTTCATGCATATAGGTCTTTCTACGATGGGTCCTTTTTCAGTGAAAACGAGCTTTTGAGTAAGGAGAGAGCATTTCATTAGTATTATATATAGACGATTTCGAAATATGCAACCCTCTCGGGACATCTAAACGAAAACATAAAATTTGTGGTTTATACTGGATTCTTGGAAATTTACCACAGGGGTGTAATTCAAACTTGTCTTCCATTTACCTGGCTGCTTTAATCAAAACAAATGATTTGAAGTGCTATGGTTACGAGAAAGTTTTAGAACCTTTACTTAATGAGCTTGTGATTTTGGAACAAAAAGGGGTCTTTGTCTCAAAGTTGGGGAGAGCTGTAAAAGGCACAGTTCAGTGCGTGGTTGCAGATAATCTTGCTGCCCACAGTATTGGTGGCTTTGTAGAAAACTTCACAGGGTCATACATATGTAGGTTTTGTCTTGCAGTTAAAACAGACATTCAAACTACAGAGGTTAAAACTGGTGCATTTACCTTGAGAACCAAAAGCATTCATGCAGATTGCTTAAAAAGTATCGAGGAACATGAATTGCCAAGTTATCGGGGTGTGAAATCAGCTTCCATTTTATCGCATTTGTTGTATTTTGACATTACCACAGGTCTTCCTCCAGACATTGTACATGACCTGTTTGAAGGAGTTGTTCCTTTTGAACTAGCTTGTGTGTCTGGGTGTTTTGATTAAGAAAAAGTATTTCACTTTGGCATCACTGAATGACGCAATAGCGTCTTTCAACTTTAAGGGTACTGATAGAACTAATCGACCTCAACAAATTTCCCTCCATTTTGAAGCCAAAAAAAGTGTTGGGGGTAATGCACATGAGAATTGGAGTTTGCTCAGATTCTTACTTTTTGTTGATTGGACACAGAGTGCAATATGAGGAGCCAGCTTGGCATATCTTAACAGACTTAAGAGACATTGTTGATCTTGTTGTCTGTCCCATGCACACAGAGGACTCTATTGCCTACCTTGACTTTAAGATCTCAGAACACAGAGCACAATTCCAGGAGGTTTTTCCTAATTGGGACCTTAAACCAAAACACCATTTCTTGGAACATTACCCACAGTTGATTCGCCAGTTTGGTCTTTTAGTAGCCTTATGGTCCATGCGCTTTGAAGCTAAGCATAGTTTTTTTAAAAGAGTTGCAAGAAATATCAAGTGCTTTAAAATGTCCTCTGTACTCTTGCAGACAGACACCAGTATCAGATGGCACATCATTTGCATTTATGTGGTTTTACAAAACCTCATTTGGAAGTTACAAATGTTTTCACAGTAACAACTGATGTTCTTGATAAGGGAATCGTAAATGCTCTCAAACAGATGTTTTCAAATCTGGCCACAGTATGCATGACTAAAAGTGCAACATTTAATGGACTGAAGTATAGATGCGGGATGATCTTGATCCATGGCTCATTGGGAGGATTACCAGAGTTCATTGAAATCATCCAAATGGTGATCCTGGCAAACCAGCTATTCTTTCTGGTCGAAAACTTGAGGGGTGGTATCTTGAGCATTACAGATCTTACAATCTCAAAACATCGTCAGACAAAGAACTGAAACTTGTTGAGCTACAAGACCTAACGGATGTGTACCCGCTGGTAGACTACAAAATTTGAGGAATGCGTCTTGTGACAGTGAAAAGATATGTCCACGTTTTATGGTAATATAAGATTGTACAAAAAATGTAATGCATGTTAGATTTTATTTTTCCTTTATGGCTGAAACTACCTTTTATTTTGTCTTCCCCTCTATAAGCAAATGTCCTAACATTCAACTAATATATGTCATATATTGTGAAGAATTTGAATAGCGGCCTTCATTACTTAACTGTCTTTATGCCCTTTTTTCAGATTGCCATGGCAAGTTCAAAACCTGCAAGACTGAAGGTGATTCTAGGAGAGAGCAACACTGAAAAACTGACTCTTCCAAATGGCATACCAGATTCTCTGGATGATCTTCTCAGCAAGGTGAAGGATACCTTTGGTTTAAAGACCAACATCAGACTGCAATATATGGACAAAGACTTTGGTAATGACTTCTTCAACCTCAGCTCAACTTCTGACCTTGAGGACTTGGGAACAGTCAAGGTGATTCAAGAAGAAGCAGTTCAACCTTTTGTTGATGTCATTGAAACAGCTCCATCTTCTTCTGCAGTTCACTCAGATGACAGCAGTTCTTTAGCTTCAAATGACACTATACTCCTCTCCTCCCTGAATCCTTCTCATCGCGAACAAAACAATGGCCAGCCAACTTTTCCCATTCCCATGTTTTCGTATGACACTGAACGTCAGCTACAGAAGGGGAATTCTGAGTATCAGGCAAAAAACAAAATATTGACAGTCACCCCACGAATGAAGACTGACATCCTAATAGATTAGTAGAAGAGATCTACAGATACAGAGCCAATCCAGAGGACGCACAGTTCTGTGTAGTTGCAGAGGCCTTGATTAAAAAACATCCATGTTTAAAAGAGCCTGGTTCATTCAATGGTTGCTACGGTTGGAAACAAAGGCTGAAGTACAAAATGGGAAACTACAGGACTCTACTCAAGTTTCAGGGATGTCCAGAATTGTCTGTTAACGCACTTAAATCCAAAGCCAGTACTTCAGTGTTTCCCGCTGCAAAAATAAAGAAGCCAAGACGAGCTGAAGCCAACTTCTATCCTTCCTTTCCAGTGGGAGAAACACAAGAAAGTATGGAAAAAGAGAGAATTGAACTCTTGACAGCAATCAAAAAGGAGGAACAATGACAAGGTCATTGCGGAGAAAATGGCTCATACCTTTGCCTACAGGCGTCAGGAGGTGGTGAATGAAGAACCTGGCATAGAGGATTTCAAGGACAGATGGCCTGCCCTGTTCCAACAGAAAGAGGTAGTAATGCAGATTGAGGATTTTTACTTAGATTTTGGAATGATTGGTCAGTATTTACTTTAAGTCATTTTGTAAGATACAAAATAAGTTTTATTTTGTTTCTCAGATTAATGCGGAGTTCCTGAGACTCATGGCTCTTCCCCTTGAGCAGACTTTCTTTGCCAGTTGGACAGGCTCTCAAGTCAGCTGATTAAAGTCATCAAAGCCAAGGGAGGAGCAACACGTGCAAAAATAGCTGGAATCATGAGAATCTATGATGAGGTATGGATATCATCGATAGGAACACTGGGGGACATTTACCATTTTTAATTTAAAACAAAGAAGTTAAAGTCTCTAATTACTTTCAGACTTTTTGTTTTAATTATTAATACTTGATACACTTTGTGCAAAGGTGATATCACTCAAAGAAAAGCAAGTTTAACTGTCTTATGTATTTTTAGTGGATTTAGTTAGTCTGTATTGTGGTTCATTCATGAATTTCATAAAATACACCTTTCTGTCCAACTTGCCAGAAATTAGTGCTATTTAGTACATTTTTTGAGCTTATTTTAAAATTTTAATTTTTTAAATGGTAGACTTATATCAATTTTATGCTGCAAGATAAAATACAAACAACAAATGATATTCATTAGTCCTAGTAGATTGTGCTAAGAAAAAGCCTTAACCTCAACAATATAGTCTAGTTTCACAAATTGAGACTTGAAGCATAAATTTTGGCAGAGGTGGAATTTGCATAATTTTGAAGAGCATTATTAACCCGGTGGACATGTGGGCTGCACATTATGGTATTTGAATATATTACTGTTACATCAGAAATCTTGTCAGAGATATGGAATATTGATAACAATACATTTTCTCCAGGTGGAGGACATTGGGATTCGAAGGGAATGTGTTCTGAAAGGGCTCATCACCTTTCTTGGAGAGGATCCAGAAGACCTTATTAAGGAATACAGTGTAAGTTTCTTTTAAAGGTTTGAAGCCGCATCTTAACCCATTCAGGAAAATTGAAAAATTCAATGTCAGTTGCTTGTACCTTTTAAATTATTTCTGGCCTGCATTTTCTATATTTAAACATCTGTTTTAATACATCAGGCAGATTTGGTGTCAGAATTGTAAATTTAACATGGTTATGTCCTGCTTAAATCCAACAGTGGTGTGCTTTGCTATTCAGCAAAGACCATTATCTAACTTCACTATCAACTTCATTTCCTGTTCACCAATATAACAAACAAGTTAATAGAATGTTTTAGTCATGCTATTTTCATACCAGCTCCAAAATATCTGATAAGTAACAGAAATATGCATTTTGTGTTGATTTCCAACCTAAGATGACCATTGGCTTGGACTACTATTCTGCTTTGATGTATAATCTATGAATTTGTTTAAGCTAAAACCTGCAATATGACAAAACACATATAAAGTTACATCCTTGTATTATCTTTTCTAAAAACCTTAAAAATCACCCTTTGAGTTATTCAATTTTTAATGCAACTTTGAACTTGGAAAATTTATCAAGGATATTTCAGATGCCATAAACGATTCTCTTCAATTCACAAGCTGTACACTTGTACTTAATGCTTGCATTTATAAGGCTTTTATTTGTCAACTGACAGATTAGTTACAGTCTTCAAGTTTAACATAAGGTTTATCTCACTACAGGGCAGCTGTGGAGATGATGCCCAGATGGATCTCAAACAACTCACCCTGGCAATGTTTGTGATTCGGAAGAAGGGAGAGGGATTGGAAGAATCCCCAGAAGACATTGGCATTGAGGGAGTGGAGGTGTTGCATGACCTGACTTCAGTTGCCTCAGCATGTGCCCTGCTTCTGGGTTTGATATATGCCCTTAACCTGGCTTATCCGAAGCCTCTGCGCTTCACATTTGAAGTGTTTCAAAAAATCTTCATGCAACTTGACCAACACAAAATGTCTCCTAAAGTTCAGAATTTGTTTGGAAGACTTCAGACCTCTCAGTAAAGACAATTGTATGTTGTGCAAAATGACAGATTATTTTCTGTCTTTGTTTGAACATGAGGGGGCTGTGTTTTGGAAGCTTAACCTCAAGGGACTGAACTTTTTGAATTTCTTTTGGGACATTGTGCATATTAAAGCCACAGCATTAGTAGGCTGCTGTAGTATTGTTCACAGACACTTTCACAGTGTTTTTTCATATTTTTTTTTCAATTTGGATTAAGCAGTGCTTAATGTTTACTATTCTGTTCTGATGTCAGTTAACTTAAGTATCGGAGATGGTTTAAATGCTGCAAGCCATGACCCCACAACCTTGTTTGAAAGCATGTAGATGTTATTGCTTGTTTTCAGTTTGTTCTTGAAGATGTTAAAAACAGACACATGTTCTTACATTTTATGTAAAAACAGTTTAGGGATTGAGAATGTTGATTTTCTTTATTTCAGGAGGACTTGTGGTAAATCTGAAAAACATTGTTTTTCAGAGGAATACATCTGGATTCTACAAGCTCACACAGGGATGTCCAAAGTTTGTCCTGGAGAGCCATCAATGTGCAAATGTCAGATGGACTATTTCAATACCACCTTGCTGAATTTACACACCAGCAGACACTCAGCTGAGCAGAGGCATAGTAATGAGCACTTAATTTTATTTGGAGATTGGATTCATCTGAAAGTTGGAGGATGGTAGCTCTCCAGAACTGGACTTGGGGTACCCCATGTTCAGTTTACTAAAAAGCTAACTCAATTAAGCAGACAAGCAAAAGATCTGTGTAGTATGTTCAGTGCAAAATGTGTTGTGAAAAATCTGTAAGTTTGTGATTTCACAATAAAATTTAACATTTTCTATTTGTGCAGTGTAGATTTGTTATAACCAAGTTGAATTTTTGGGTAGTGTAAAGGAATTTTACTGCTATTGTAAAGCTAAAACATACTTTAAAAGTGATTTATATTTAAGCATTATTGTAAGTACAAAATATGCATAAACGACTTTGGGTAGTTTCATTTTTTAACTTAGAACAACTTACATTTTTGAGTTGACTTTCTATAAATTTAAGTAAGATGGATTTAACATTTGTATATGAAATAAAGTAAATAAATTGCGTTAGACTGACCTAAATTTATCAAGTTAAACTAAAAAAATTATGTTGATCCAACTTAATTGAATTACTTGTTACCTACAGAAGTAATTCAATTAAGTTGGATCAACTTTTTTCTTTTTAGAGTGTGGAAGCTGCTTCATCGCCTCTGTGTCTTCTGGTTCTTTCTGATTCTGGAACCGATCCAAAAGAACCGGTTCAGATCCAGCTCCTGGTTTTTAAGGAGGTATGATTCTTCATTTGGAAGAATCACTATTTCCATCTGCAGTGGAAGAAAAGAAGAAACTGGTCATAAAAGACAGATCATCAGTTCAGCAGCTGTCCTCCAGGGGGCAGTAGAGACATCAGAGAAATTCATCATTTCATTTTTATACTAACTCCCAGCATGACTGACTCTTTCAGGTTTATCAGAAATCTCTGGGACTTTTAGTTTGTTGTTAAATCCAAATGAATTTGCTTTTATTTCACCACTACTGAAAAAGTAGAACTTGTAATTTACTTGAGAGTTTCCAGTCTAAAGTCTGAACTGGCTGCCAGGTCACACAGCTGCTCCACATCTGGATCCGTCAGCCTGTTGTCAACCAGGTCCAGTTCTGCCAGATGGGACGGGTTGGACCCCAGAGCCGAAACCAAAGACAAACAGCTGAACCCAGTCAGGCTGCAATTCCTGAGTCTGAATAAAAAAATCATTCAATGCCTTTAAAATCACTTTATGTGTAAATACAGTAAAATAATAACTACTGACATTAAACCGTTGAGTTGATGTTGTTTTTGTTCTGTTGGGTTATATTGTGTTTTATTCTGCTTTTTTATTATTGTGTGATATTGTTCATGAGTTTAAATCCTGTTGGTTTGTTCCCACCAACACCAGTTAAACTCAATCAGTTACAAGGTTCATCAACAACATAAAGGTCAGATTTTATTTTCCTGGTATAAGGTATTAAACATCATATCATTATAGCAATTCAATTATTTATCAGTTCCCCATAATAAAGACACTGATGGTGCTTTTACTTTGAAAGTACATTTTTGGTTTCAGAGTTCACTTTTTAAAATCACCATGAATAAAAATACAGCAGAGAAATTTCATTAATATTAACAATAATCTTTTTTTAACCATTTATCAGGTTAATTTGTGAGATATTTTGTAGTTTTCAAGACTTCAACTTTATTCCACAATGTCGATAAAGTCAC